AGGGGCCCAATGGAGTAGGATTCCTCTGCCAGCAGCGGGATTTGAACCGGCAACCTTCCAGTCACAGGCACAGATCCTTAGCCACAGAGCCACTGCTCCGCCCAAGACAAACATTCCCACAATTCTTGGTACCTGGGTAGCCATCTGGATTAGTACGCAAGAGCAACGTACACATACAGCAATGGCGAGTTCTTTTCTGCCACACTTAAGAGGTGTTATCTGCTCAGCTTGTGAATCCACTTTTCCAGACTCACCTTCGCTGACATTATAAAGTATCTAATTTAACTAGCTGCTCTAAGCGTTCATCTTGTCAGTGCCATTACCACTTACATGCTGAGGCTCATCCTCTGCTGACATTGCATTATTCACACACAAAGCTTCAAGGAATTTCTGTTTCAGAATGATGTATCGGAATCTACAGAGAGGGGAAACAAAATTCAGCAAGAAATCAATATCTAAATATACACTGTTAAGATGCATATGTATGGGAACGGAAATAATAGGCTTTCTGTCATTAAAAAAAATTATCAGCTCGTGTTTTTAGAACTGAGTCACACTACTTGGAGCCAGTCTACAATACCTCTTCCTGTCAAATTTCTCCATGCATTCCAGGGGCTGGATGAACTGAAGAACTTCATCCCACTGGCCATCAAGAACCAACTGCCTGTAAAGGACAGTTATGGGGGCACATCAGTTGTGAATGTGATCATAGATAAAAAAGAACTATTTAGTTATGCAGAAAGAATATTGACCTTCAGCTCAACAGGTCTCTATTGCTATATGGGACCATCTCTGTATAGGATAACTACAATATTATTCCATAAATACCTAATGAACACGGACTCTAAAATGATATCCCGTTTTAGATGGATCAGTCTCTCCTGTGGCATTAAGAAGATTATGATGCACAGGAACTTTATGATGCATTTTCCTTTTTTAACTTGTACTATGTACAGTCTGTCTGTGGTGAATTTATAAAAGGAGAAGTTATAAGTTCTGAGCCTTGCCATGTAGACTTTGTGATTCTGCAGTGTTTTTGATACCTTCTCCCCTGCTCACTGGAGGTTGGCAATTTCCCTTGCAGTTGTTTTAGTTATTTTCCCTCTGATAATTTTTCTATTATTAACTCTAGATGTTTTTTTTTTTTACATTGTTAAGCCAGTCCTGCTAATTATACCTGTAATATTTTGTCTTCGGTGTATTCTGAAGGGGTTGAATTTGGTATGGCTTATTTCTGCTTTAGGGTTCCGATTACAGTTTTTATTTTCTTTCGGCTTCAAAGTTGCCCGCTATTTTTAAAAGACATTTTAGAACTGTATTTTGAAACCAAAACCTGAAGTCAATAAGACACCAGTTATATATGATTGCCACCTGACTAAAAAGAGACATGTGTTGGCCAGTTGTCCCAATACTTTTGCTCAGTTAAGAGGTTCTAAACTATCAAATTGTTTAAATAACTGAATTGCCTTTATAAAAAAATAAATAAGATACTTATAAGCTGTGCTGATCAATTTTTTCTTGAGAAATGATTATTACATTTCAAAGTGAGAATCATGGGTTTGACTTCACCGTTTGGAGGTTAATGTACACGTCACTTATGCAAGACACAGAGTACCTCCAATCTACAAAAAATAAGGCTAATATTTTTTTTAATTAAGAAAAAATAAATTGAAAATCAAGGGCCCAACAAACCATTATGATTTTTTTAAAAAATAGCTATCCACAGCACTGTTTTCTTTTTAATTGAAAGGACATAGGTATGTGAGTTTCTATACCAATCTAAATTGAACTAAGAATATTCCAGTATCACCAAAGCTAAGACATGAATGACTGCTTCATAGGCAAATAAGACAACAACATAGAATATTCACATTTCACTGCACTAGGTCTCCCTCTCAGAAAAACTGAAGTGTTGCTATTCAGAGTAGAATCATGTATTCCTTCATTTTACCAGGTACCTACCTCAGGAAGAGCATATCATCAGAATAGAGTCCATTAATGACCCCACTCTCCTTCTCCAGGGCCAGCATACTGATATGCAGCTTCCTTGAGTTCAGAAAATCCAGGATGAGTTTAATAATTTCCACCTCCTTTATGTTTATGGTCTCCTCTGCCGTCATGGTGTCAGTTTTAAAATGAACTGCAAAAAGATACACCAAAGAATAGTACACTCACAATAGTACTACAATCCGTAAGAACCTAATTAACAAAAATATCAACAGGATAATCTAAGAGCAGAACAGAAAATATGATTACTCATTTTGCAATCTAAGGTATTACAACTGTTGAGAATTTTCCAGAAATAGCTTTATGGTGACGTTAGTGCTCTGAACAGTCAGAAAACAATTAGACATCAAAAAAGGTTTAGAGGTCTGAACTTAAATTTTCAAATTCCACAAACTTATTATTTGTAAAAGGCTGTCAAAATATGTCTTCCAATAACTTTTAAAAAAGCATTAAAAATAAAAATATATTAATTTTTTATATATAAATACGTATTTATATGTATAAAAAAAATCAACTTAATTATTTCATTTTTGGGAGTGTTATGTGTGGTGTGTTAAGTATAGCCCAAACTTGTTTTTTTTTTCCACAACTGTTGACTGTATGTTCAATTACACCAATAACTCTATAACATGAATGGCTGTGGCGTCAACAAAGCACTATCAATAAAGTCAATACTACTGAAAGCTAAAAAACTCTTCATTTAACCAAATTAAATTTCTTGAATTCACGGGAAAGCCAAATCTACTACAAGGTCAAGTTCACGTTACACCGATGAAAATTTACAATTCAATCTAGTCGAATAGTACAGCACATTACCGACCAAAGTACAAGACCTGCCAACAACAAAGTCACGACAGTCTAAAGATCCCTACATAAATCACTAGAGGAAGCTCCCATTATTTAAAAATCAAATGAATCAGGGCTCCAGTATGCCTGAGAAGCCTTGTACAAATCACCACTTAATATAAATCCTCTGTGCATGTGTTCCCATTCCACTGGCATTCCATTTAGGGTGAAATCCTGCCTTGTTTCCTATAGCTCCAATATGGGCTCCAACTTGCCACAACCTTTAGTAAGATTAGGAAGCTTTTAAAAGGAAAAAAAAAATGAAAATAGCATTGTTTCACAGTCCAATTAAATTCAGTCTCAAACATGACATACATAGTGCCATATTAAATTTAAATAGACAAATTGCACACATGTATCAACACAAATCCATGCATGAACTTGAATATATTAATTCAGGTGGGTAGCTGCGTCAGCATGCGTAGGCTGCAAAGGAACAAGTAATAGGTTTATTCCATGCTGAAAAAAAGAAGAAAGAGAACACAACGTTTCGGCCGTGGAGCCTTCTTCACACCTTCACACTTGTTCCTTTGAATATATTAATATCATTGTGTTAAAAAAAGGGCAGCATGGTGGTGAAGTGCCACCTCCTGGCACTGGAGCCCTATTTCCTAGGATCTATCCGTGAGGAGATTAGATGTTCTCAACATTTTGTGTGAGCTTCGTTCGGGGTGCTCCTGTCTCCTCCCACAGTCTAAACACATACTGGTAGATTAACCGGCTTCTAGAATAATTGGCCTGGTGTGTGCCGTGTCTGTGTGTGGCTTGCGATGGACTGGCAACCAGTCCCACTTGTCCAAAAATAACTTACTTGGAAAGGCTCTGTCACTCTGTATTGGATAAAGTAGTTAGAAATTGGATTGACAGATGGATTTTTAAAAAAAGCATTAGTGGGCTTCAGTTATCGTAATTGGAGATATTATGTTTGTGCACATAAAAATAAAGTTGATTATGTGCGGGCCGGAGTAATGCAAGGACCCAAATCTTGGTCACTGAACACAGAAAAGACAGAATAAGTATCAATAACCCATAGAAATGTATGCTTAAAATAACAGTAAGATACAGAAAAAGAAATGACAAGATACTATATACAATGGACACGCAGGCTATAAGAAATGATATTGCAGCCTATTTTATTACACAAAACACAATTCTGAACTGTATCTGCAAACCGAAAATAATCAAAGAAAAGAAAGAAGACTCAAAAGTAAAATGGTCAAATGAAATCTGTCTTCTGGATAAAGTTATATCCTTGGAGTTATAACTTTGGAGTTGAGGGAGAAAATAAGGATAAGGAAAAATACCAGTGCATATTTTCCTAAACGCAGGTCAGAAATTTCTAACTGAAGGAATACTAGTTTCTGGTGACTGGTCCCTTCATGAATCAAATGCAAAGGATAAAGTGGTAGACAAGATGAACAGAACAAAAAACATTCTGTGGAGCCGAAATACATCACTTATAGAAATAAATACTTATTTACACCAATACACTTGGTGGTGGCGGAGGGGATCCCCATTACCTGTAAAGCGCTTTGAGTGGAGTGTCCAGAAAAGCGCTATATAAGTGTAAGCAATTATTATTATTAATACTTGAAGACTAGACAAACAACTTATTAATATATACATGATCTACAACTAGTTGAAGCTACTGTATGATAACAAGTCATTTTTATAGTGACATCATAAATGGTCAGGCGTAAAATTGCTTTAATTAATTTACATTGTCACTAAAGCTATTCCAAAATGTTTAAAAGCATCGTACTTGACGTACTGTACATTGTTTTTTTGTGTGTGTTTTTAAGTTAATTGTGCTTTTTACCCAAGGAAAAACGAAGTAATAAAACTAAATTCATTATATGCAAGTCTGATATGATATACGATATAATACACTGCAATGGCATATTGATATACAATATTACAAATTGAATTCTGTTATAATAAAAATGAAGATTTGAAACTAGGAGACGGTCATCTATTGAGCAATGCACACCTACTGTACCTGTGGCTTAGGGGTTACTGTTTTAATATTTGCACATATTATACAAATTAATGCTTTACAATTCCTTTCAAAACGACATGTAGACTGCAAAGTCAGACATACTGTATTTCAAGCAATCTGAATTGCGAATAAAGCCACAAATGGCAGAAAAGGGGTATCTTCTAGATTTTCAGATAATGTGCCCAGAACTTTAACATCTGCAGCATAAAAATAACGAAAGCAGCGCCCACCCCTGTTTTTTTTTTATTTCTGTCTGTTCTCTAGCTAAAATAGGTGGGTCATCATCTGGTAGGAACGCGCTGGAGCCTTCACTGCGCAGTCTCTCACTGACAATCGCCAAAGCTCACATATTCTCGCCAGTTTCTACTGACAGGTCCCTTCATTCATCAAATGCAAAAGCACTGTCAACATGAAATGGTCGATAAGACCAAAACAAATTGTGGCGGCCACTAAATAAAGGGTTTTCTTCTGAAGGCTTGGACGGAGAAGTGGCCCGACTGAGAGTATGACATCCAAATCGTACAGCAATACGCATCTCAGTGTTATTAATATCATCACAGATACACATGGCAACCAGCTCAGCCTTCTTTTTATATTAACATTCCTTTGTTAATTAATCACTTAACGCGCTTATCTCGTACGTCCACGGTAATCAGATGATGACACAACGCAGCAGAGACACGCACAGACTGATGTGTGGTATCCAGATAATGGAAAAGACCAGCAAACCAGAGCAAGACATGCATCATCTCCATTATCATCACTACTAAAGCACCAGCAACCAAACCGCACACAAAACTCACCTTCTCGATGCTATAAACACATGTATTGAAAAAAGTGACGGGAAGATGCCTTTACTGGGTATTTTTTATTGTTATGTTCTACAAATCCCAATTGTTTTCCCTTTATCCCTTGTTGTCGTCTCCTCCCACCCTGTCTGCTACCCGACTCTGGTTGTCAAGCGGATCGCTGCGAGTCACCAATCAGAGTCGAGCACTCTGCGCCGGCACTCTGAGGACCCACAGCTGCCCTCGGCACTGCCTCTACGGAGGCGCTCAATAACGATTTCGATGCAGTCAAAGCAGTTACATTTATACAGTTTAATGGTTAGAAACAGCGAATACAGGCGACATCGAGACAACAGTAACGATGTGTTTTTTTTTTCAAATGAGCATTTAACTCGTTGAATATGTTTTGCCTAAAGACACAAGGGAGTGTCCAGATTTCCTGCTCTATATGTGCATTTTGCTCTAGTATTGCAAGTTAAGGACTAGGCACCCAAATTGTCGTAGTGCTACAAGTAAGAATGTATCAATATAATGTGTTTAGCAAAATGGATATGGAGTTCTTGTGCCTGGTCTATAGCTAATAATAAATAGCTTTTGATCCATCTATTGACCGTAGCCGCTTCATCCTAAGGAAGGTCACAGTGAACCAGAGGCTAAGTTTTCCACAAACACGACAAATACGACCTACACAAAGGGTAACCATTCTGGGATCGAACCCAGAACCGTACGCTGCTTCACAATGACAGGACAAAGGCATTTCAAACAAAGGACAAAATGATTGTAACTTTGCAGGCAATCTTGACTGGACGTTTAAGCAAAAAAAGCGATTTCTCTCTCACCTATTCTCTCAAAGACTGTCACCTTAGTATCTTCTAGGGCTTAGTATAGTTAACCAATAAATAATTTAACTAGGTGCAGACTCGGGACTGTAAGGTCTAAAGGTTTCAGTTACTGCTGCAACGTAGCATTGCATACACTGCATTGATAGGGATTCATTTATCTCGAGTAAAATCTAATTCGGATTAGAGGAAACGAAAGCTACCAGAGGAAAGACCCCGCAAAAATCCTGAAGCGTGTTTTTGCGAATCCAAGTGGAAGGTAGCTGAGGTTTTACAGTTCTTCAAGAAGTGATAATACAAACTCCATAAAAAAAGCAGCGCCATCTAGTGGGGTATCTGTCGGCTTGAAAACTGTGTGACCATAAATGGTCCGGTTTGGTGTAAATAATAATTGCTTACACCTATATAGCACTTTTCTGGACACTCCACTCAAAGCACTTTACAGGTAATGGGGACTCCACCACCACCAATGTGCAGCATCCAGCTAGATGATGCAACGGCAGCCATAGTGCCCCAGAACCACACATCACCTTTCAGTGGGGAGTAACAAAGCCAATTCATAGATAGGGATAATTAGGAGGCCATGATTGGTAATGGCCAATGGGAAATTTGGCCAGGATGCCGGGGTTACATCCCTGCTCTTCACGAGAGACATGCTGGGATTTTTAATAATGCTGGCCCCACTAACAACCCTTCCAGCAGCAGCCTTAGTTTTTAGTTTCCCATCCAGGTACTGACCAGACTCATACCTGCTTAGCTTCAGTGGGTTGCTAGTTGTGAGTTGCAGAGTGATATGGCTGCTGGCTAAACACCAGCCAGATCATATTGACAAGGAGAAATTCAGGCCCACCTTTGATTGCCAGCAGCCATATCGCTCTGCAACTGTAAGCAATTACTCTGTAAGCAATTATTATTATTAATTATATATTGTTTTGCTATGTGCCAGATTTACCTTAAACAACATGTCAAAAAACTGTCATTTCCAAAAAGCATCTATTACTATTTTGTATTAAAAGTCTTAGACAGGTTTCATTTTGCAAATAGTCCATCTTACTGGTGCACTTTGTTCTCAAACATGATAATGACTACTTCACAAAAGTGCAAACCTTTCACAATGAAGTGCATAATGTAGTGTTATGAGCTATGGAAAATTTCAATAAGAATTTGAGTTGAGTTAGAAGAACTTATCTAGAGACGAGGGAAAAGTTGCCCAGGCATGTTTACATATTTCTACTGTATATGTGAAAATAGAAAAACACATAAACCAAATAGAGCTGGTAAACAGAAAAGGAAGCTAAAAGATATATTACTGACTTGCTTTTGATTTCCATTGATCGTAGTCTCTAGTATCCTCAATGGCACATCAAAGAATTGTCTTATTATATCAATGTTCATCATTCTAAGCAACTGATTAGTTTGACAATGAAGTTTGTCTTTTATATTTTACGTCACTGTTTTTTTATATCACTTTCATTCTAGTTTATTTTTGGTCTAGTACTGGTAGACTATACTATATGCATACTATTTAAATGTCAATATGTCAATGTATTTTATTTTTAGTGTATTATTCTCTTCTGTACTCTTTTGTGAATCACTACTATTATGCTGAATTTTTTTTTCTAAACATTTGTTTTCTGTAGAGCTAGAAAATCAAACTTCAAGCTAATCCGGAGTTAGTTTTCTCAGTGCATCAGGATATGCAAAAAGCACACGTGATACAGCTTTTCAATGTCTGGAAATCAAGATATAATTCCATTCCTCTGTCCATTTTCTAATTCCTTCTTCCAAGTCAGGTTTATGGGGTGCCAAAGCTTATCTCTGCAACCAATGGGCACGAGGCAGTGTACACAAATTTTCCCAGAAGCCTATTAGCCTATAGTACCACTTTGTTTTTTTACTGAGGAAATGCAAGCTCCAAAAGAAACCCTACGCAAACACAGGGAGAACATACAAGCCCCAAGCAGACAGAACCCAATGTCCAGAACTGAACCCAGGACTTTAGTGCTGTGAGGCAACAATGCTAACCACTACATAAACAGAATGTCCCTGATATAATTGCATAAAAATGAATACTTTAGAAGAAAAAATAGCTATTTCCCTATATGTGAAGGAGACGTAGCACAATGCTTCTCATTAGATTATCATAAAGAGTAATACTTTTGAACAAATATACCATGAAAAATAGTGTATAATGACTATTAAGACCATTTTTAATCATCTCAGTTGACATTAATGTTTTACAATATACTGTCTATTACTTTGCAGATGGGCATTAGAAAACGTTAGTGGTCTGGGGTTTTCATTAACATTTTTTAAACAATATAATTTTATTTGTCACTTGTTGAATTCCATCTTGGCAAACCCTTTCAACATTTATGACACCACAAATATATCCTTTTGAGGCCATGCTTCATTTTATTTGATGCAAAAGAAAAAAAAATAACTACATGTTACTTCAGCAATATGTTGACAATATAGGGACAGCACAGCGTCTGAAAAATGGAAGCAATGCTCCATCAAGGTGGACAGATTAGCACACAATACACTGTACAATAATCAACAGTGCCCGTTTTACAATTAAATAGCTATTCAGTTTGGCTTGAAACAGCCAAATTAGACAACTATAACAGCTGTCTTAAAAATAATACCTCTTCTACATCATGAAACCCAAAAGGCTTCAATAACCAATATAACTGCTGCTTTTATATTTGTCCACGAAACACATACAACTGCTTGTTTGGCAATTCTATAAATAAACCCCAATTAAAGCACCAGTGTTTGTGTTAGAGACAGACATTCAAATCTGATCTGCCACCTGCATAAGGTTTTCTGGTAACCTACAAAACTAAAAGTGATTAAATAGTTTTATAAAACTAGCAGGCTTAGAAAAGAAAGAAAAGTATTCATAGTTATATACCATACAGTAACAATTCTCTACCAATACACTAAGAAATAGTCAGGCACATTCTACCTTTAGACATTTTACAAAGGAATGCCACTGAATCTTAATTTGATGAGAAAGAAAAATGAAAGCAATTATAAAAAAGGAATAGTCAAACCCCAGTCACGTCAATATGTATGGATTGTTACATATGGCACTTTTTATTTTTCCAGCATATTCTGAACTGGCTTAATGTACACGTTTTAAAATGAAACTGTGTAAACTATCCTTTTTTCTTCCCAAAAACTGTTAAATAGTAAAATATGAATTTATTCACAAGCATTTCATACATTAGCTACAAATTACAAATCTCAAATTCTATCATTAAAAGTTTACTACATGCAATCAAAACACAGGAAATAATTACAAGTGAAGCTATGTGATGCCCTTCTGGTAAGAAAAAGTTATCTTTCCTGGTGCAAGTGAGAAAATAAAGAAATTTCTCAAATAGAAAGTGCCATACATAAATTCATCTACCATATTGTTTACAAGGACTTTCCTATTACAAAGCATAATTACCAGGATGTTAAACACAGGGAATGTATTTAATCTGTGGTGACAAGCACTATCTTGAATTTTAAATTTCAAAGAAAAAATAACATAAAACTAAAATTTCTTAGTTATCATTTTAATGCATTTAATCTTTTTCAATAATGGGATATTCAGCCGATATTTGTTTAATGTAAATCTGAAATCTGTCAATGTCTACATCTGGTCTTGACAATGGAAATCTGTTACATATCTATAGGCAGAATGTATATGCATTTTAGTCCCTCATTCAGTTTTATATACACATGTATTTATACATTTTTTATTTTTGTGAAATACATATCTTTATCTTGTTCATGCAGAGAGAATGGAGAAGCCAATGATAAAACTTTCCACTTTTATTCTGGAGGCACATCTCTCATTATTCTTTAAGATGAAAATCATCTTTTTTGTACAGTTTTAACAAATATACACACTGAAAATAAATTAGATTTATATATTAACAAAGATGACATCAAATTGTAAAACCTGCATGACCAGCAAAGTCTGGACTCAGTTTAAAATAAAAAAAAGGTTACACTACAGATGGATAAAGAGAGAGCAAAAACCTTTACAGAATTCACTCCAAGACGCAACAATCATTTCTCCATAAAGATCTTAGATTAAGAGACTACTGTTTTTCAGGCCTTTCACATGAGTGATATCCCCAAAACTATAGTAAAAAGTGCTTTTTTACTGTCTGCATTTTAAAATAAAGCATTATGAGTAAGTTTCAACAAAGATTAGGTTAGTGTTTTGTAGTATGGTATAAAAAAGATGACCTTGTAGACATAAGGAAGTGAATTAACTGTAATCCTTCTTTAATTTCAAGCCTCATAAGACATTTATTAAACCCCATTTCCAAATACCCACCATTATTAAGTCTTTTCTGGAAGACTTCACTAAAAAAAGAACAAGGAATGTCACTTTTGCATACATGGTAAAGGTTCATGCCAAGGTTCTTCAGTAATGTAACACCTTGTATGCCCAAAATATACACAGTATACACATTTTCATGGAAGCAGATATAAAAGAACATAATTTTTCTTCAACCAGTAAAGAAAAAAAAAACACTGCTAAATAATCACTGGTAAATACAACCCTTAAAAATGAAACATGGCATCCTAATGTGATCTACTGCAAGTCTCTTAATGAGCAATTGATAATAGCAGTCAGGAAGAAAGTTGGAAATGTACTTCAATATTCATGAATCGCATTGAATTAAAAACGTATTTACAACCGTACGCTAATTGATAAAACTAGTCTCAATAGACAGAATATGAAATCTATAGTTATATTTTTCTAAAACTAACAATTGTTATGATTAAGGCAGGAGAGTCTAGCCTTCTTGTCCTGCCTGAAATTAGACTGTTCATTGAGACAAGTGACGTTTGCCACATTTAAATAAGTCATATTTTTCTAATCGATTTGTATGTTCTAGAAAATGAAGTCATTAGCTACTCTGCATTATTCAACATATATATAGTAGATATTTTTGGTGATTATAAATAAACCAAGCTAAGCATGAGTTTCTAATACTGAACTCTCTGAAGAAAACATGTCAGGAAACGTCTTCTGAAACAGTAAAGGAGGTTTTGAGTCCATTTTTAGAGGACAAGAAGTTTCAACAATAAAGGTATGTAATCAGTCAATGATTAGCTTGTCTGCCCTATTTTCTACAGAAAAAATATATACAAACAAGCCTTTGCGTTTTTCCTGAAGCACACTGTGCAATACTGTTAAGAAAATATGTCAATAACAAAAAATGTTTTGTTGAGTCTGGTGCTTTTGCCATTTGTTATAAACTAGTAAATACCTATGTAGTGACTTGCTTTGCATTCAATCGACATTTTATTGGAAAAGTAACCTAATACATCATTATTTTCCTTAGAACACTGTAACACTTTCCATTTTTCTCACATTTTGACTTGGGTGACAAAATTGTGTTTCTACTCCCAAAAATAAGAAAACACTGGTGTACAAAAATCTTTCATGAAGTAGCCCCACAGAAAACTTAGAGCCATCACATATGAAATTAAGTCTAAGGCCACAAATGATAAGAAATATGACAAATTCATTCTATACATATGATTAACATTCAGTGCTTCAGTGTACCAAATTAAATCATGGCATCCATACTTTCTCTTGGCACATACAAAACCATACACACACGTGCTTTAATAAAATTACCCAGTATTGGATGATCTTTTTTTACTGAAATACATCAGTGATTTGCACATAATACGTTTAAGTGTTTTACATTCCAGTTGTGCATAATGACAGCAGAGTTTGGTGTCCAGTTTGAACTAAGGAAAAAAAACAGGAGAAAAAGAAAAGCTGAAAACAATAACATTGTTTTATTTGTCCATTGGCAGCAACGAAGCCTAATCCAAATGGATATTTAATGTGAAGTGCAAGTTGAATGTGAATGTTTTAATTAAAAAAACAGAGCGAAAGTTCAGTCTTCTAAGACTTGGAAGGCAAAACTTTTTTAGGTGTGACGGGCTTCTTGGTCTGCCACAAGTGGCTGTGAATGGTAATGGCGTCAACACTTGCAGACATGGTCTTAGCAGGGATATGGCTGAACTGCTTCCTGTCAGAGTTGTACTTGTACAGACCCTCAATCATCTTCCTGGTGATGGACTTGGGGCCAATTCCTGCCAGCTTGTTGATCTCCTCTGTCTCCGGGCAGTATGTGTACAATGACCTGAACTGGCAGCCAGAATCCCGGAACAGAATCAAAAAGTTGTTGGCCTCCGACTTCTCCATTTGCTAAAAGAAGTAGGGAGAGACAAAGGTGTCGCTTAAAAAAAAAAAAAATGTAAGCAAATCCAAAACACTTGTAAGAGGATATAAGGGCCGAACAATTAAAGATGTATACAAGTATATGAAAGTATATATTTAAAACCAGCAACTGTTATGATTAAGGCAGGAGAGTTTAGCCTTCATGTCCTGCCTGAATTGACATTGTTTTCATTGAGACAACTGATGTTTTCAACATTTAAATAAGTTATAAAGGTGGCCTTCACATTAATCAAAGTAGACAATGGAAAGATTAGCCACTTTGCTAACTGTTATATCGTAGGCAAATCTTTTCAATATCCTTCATTCAAGAAACAGCTGGATGAGACCCTCGGATCACTTAACTACTATTAAAGTGGACAGTTGAACTAAATAGAATCCTCTTGTTTGTAAACTTTCTTAAGTTCTTATACTTCATTTTCAACATTAAAGTTGTAACTAGTCATATAATTGATACAGGTATAGTTGAATTATTTATGTATAAATATAGCTGTACAATAAAGTGGTTTATTTCTACTTGGATGCACATCTAAAAATCTTAGGGAACAAAAAGGTTATATTTCCTAAACAAGAGCAAACTGCACCATCTTACCTCCAATATTTTATTCTTTTGACCTTCATTGACCTTGCCAGCTAGACAGCAGTGAGACAAGGCATTCTGGATAATGTGCTTATTAGACTTTGCACTAGGCTCTTTGTAAAGCTTTGGGCCTGTTCAGAAGTAAAACAAGAAAAGAAGAGCTTCAGCATTCAATTTATTTATGCAGCCAACAGCATGACTAATCTTGTGCATCTCAAATCTTTTAATATAAAATATAAAATATCAAATTAACCAGTAAAAGTTCAGATTATGAATTACAAAAAGAAAAAATGCTGTTACATACAGTACGTAGCACATTATAAAACGGGATAGACCACAGATTAATGTGATTGGGCATGAACCCATTTATACAGTTTGTCATCCTTTTAAAGCTTTCGATGGAGCCATTTAATGTGTGGGCTATTTTAAAAGCCACAATTCATCTTATTTCTACTTTCATCACTATTTAAATACATCATGCAAGGTAGAAAATGCTACAGGAAAACAGATAGCACCTGTATATTCTGTGTTGGAAGCCACAGAAGATGTTGTAGAACCATTTTCCCAATCCTTCTCTCCATTGCGACTGCCCGATCGACACGGTGATAAAAAACCATCTGCTGACTCAGGCCTTAAAAATACATTTAAAATCATATCTAGCATTATTTCTGAATAATTACAATACATAAAACAGGAATTCGGCTAACAGTCAGATAGGGCGTCTTAATATTAATATTAATATTAATATTAATATTAATATTAATATTGATATTAATAACAACAACAATAATAATAATAATTGATATTCTGGAGACTTTCCTTTACAAAAAATGACTTCAATCCCCCCTATAGGAGAGAAGGTAAAACCATGCAGGGTATCTAGATTAAATACACAGAATTAAATAGGATTGAGAATCTAATGGATACAGGCCAGGATGTGCAACATACAGTATGAGATTAGAGAGCAGCAGGTTAAGTACCAGAAGTATGGCACAAAATACCTCTATAAGTGAGCATGAGAGGCAAATGAACACAAACAATAACATGTTAGCAAGTACAGGAATAGCAGATCAGAAACATTTGCTAACATTTAATCAGCCTTTAAAATATACAGTACATTTGAAAATGAGATTCAGATGGGAAAAGGAAGGTTATTCATGAATAGAAGCACCTGTACTTTAAAGTTAACAGAAACCATTTAACGATTTAATCCCACAATTCTAGAATTACTTCATGATGAAAGTAAGCCACAGTACGCACAGGTGTTTGGTACCACAGCTAGTAATAGAATCCATATTTTACGTGGAGGTAAATAAAGTGATCTTATCTTTAAAAAAAGGAAAGGTGGCACTGTGGCTAAGGATGGAAAGTTGCTGGTTCAAATCCTGCGTCCGGCAGAGGAATCCTACCTTGTTGGGCCCCTGAGCAAGGACCTTAACCTCAACTGCTCCAGGGGCACAGTACAATGGCTGACCCTGCGCTCTGACCCCAAGCTTCTCTCATTGTCTGTGTGTCTGTGTCTCATGGAGAGCAAGCTGAGGTATGCGAAAAGATGGATTCCTAATGCAAGAAATTGTATATGGCTAACAAAGTGATCTTATCTATCTTATACTGTAGATGGTGACCTTCTTGGTCACTTGATTTGACCTATTTCTTGTCTGTCTTTGGAATCTGACAATCTAAGAAACATTTTAGAAAACAGGGAAGGCAATTAGTGGTTCTATATGCAAGCTTTTAGATGTAGTCTCCTTTCATGTAAAACTCACTTCTTGTATGTGCAATAGTAAACCATTTCTAATTTTCACCTGTGACAGCTGAGTGCCGGAGCTCTGGCAGTTGCATTGATGAATTTAAGAGCCGTGCTGACTGTGCTAACATGGACTGCTCCTTCCAGTAAGCAGGAGCCAAAATAATGAAGTGAGTTAGGTCATATCAAAGAGACTAACCTTGTGTTTTTCAGTTTAGTAGATTTCAATAAGTAGTATAGGTTTCCTGAGGCTATGTCACTGCTTCTGAAAATTCCAGAAAAGGGGAGACAAAGAAGAAAAAAGAGAAACAAGGATGCAGGACAAAGAATATTATGTCTTGTGGTCTATGGGGAAAGAGATTAAAGGTGAAATAGAGGTCAGTAAAAGAGGAATAAATTAAAGAGGACTGACAACAGTCACTTATGCTTAATGCAGAGAACTTTTTAATAATTTCATGCATAGACTTTGTTAGCCAAGGAAATTAAGAACATGCTGCAGCCCTATCTTTTTATGCTACTATCATGACCAACAATATTTTTAGAACACGACAGGAAAAAAGTAAGATTTGTTCCTGTAACCTAACTGAGACGAGGGCAATTATGATACATTGTGTCTTTTGCCTGTGAAAGGTTCCGAAGCATTTGTATTTTATGATTCAACCTCAAAAAATAAAAAAGCATACAGGGATGAATCCTTGATGAGCTCAACTGCTTGTCAAGAAGGGAGGTTTCGTACTTTTACATCATTGACACTTTGTAATGCTTCCGTTTGAGCACAAAGTATCCTGTAAGCAATGAAGATCTAAGCATTTAGCTATGGGGGGGGCAAAAAGTGAATACCATTCTTCACCTGGGGGTTCTCTTGCCTGACTGCACGCTGTCAGTGTCCGCCAAGTTCAGCGAGGCCAGAGAGAGGCTGGAGACTGAAAAAACACGAGGACGTGAACCTGGATTTGAAAAACAAAGTGTTCACAATCAACACCGTTCCAAAACCGACAAGGAGTCTGTTCACAATGCTTTGTGTACCCACCTATGCAACTGGTTTGTTTTGTTTGAGGCTTCCACAGATGCATGCCTTAATATTGTATCTTAATATTGACTGTAGAAATTGATTTCCAGACACATGGTTGTGTCAGTTCACATACGAGTACAAAAATGCATGATACGCTGTATGTTTTCATACCAACTTCAGCTTCCTGTTTTATTAGGACTGATTCTTCATATAAAATAACACAAAACTGGATGTGTTCTCTATCTGTGAATCTGCAGTTGCTTTTATTATTAGTTGTTAATGGCTCACTTTAACATCATCTGACAAGGCAAAACTGAGACTTTTATGATTCATTTTGGAACATAACTATAATAAAATTAAAATCCGTATAATAGCACTCTAAAAACATTACTACCATTAATGTTCTAACATCAAGACAGACTGTTTAAATCTGGATCCAGACATATCCAGACTTTTTACTCAATTAAAAAAGACTTTAGAAATCATCGACAAAAATTGAAATCTGAACATATCAAATTTGAATCCTATACATTTTTCAGATCAAAGCATTAAAGTATGTAAAGATGTTTCTAGTTTTCCATCTCTGCATGCAAGTAGCAGTGAGTTTCATTAAGAGACATAATTTAATGCAAGTCACAGCAGAGTTTAAAAGAAAAGTTAGCATTGAGAAGGGAGTACATGGGCTAGTTAATGCTACAGACATTAGAAATTAGCATGCATATATGTAAGCAGATACAGGCTTGTCTTTTTTATAGGAATTTGAAATCTGAAGTTTTAATGAGCACATTAAATAGCAAGAGCTGAGGGAATATAGTTAGCCAATCCAGAAAGGATGCAGGTGGCACAAAGCAAGCTGGCACGTATGGCACAGAACAGACCCCCTGTGCATCGGGGCATGTGTTACCTGCCGGAGCCCTGGCAGGGGTTTTGGGAGATTCCATGATATCTCTGTGGACAGATTTTGGGCGAGGTTTCTTCTGTTTGGAGCTGGCAGGACGTGGCTTAATCACGGTGTCCATGTCTTCCATTAGTTTGAGCTGCTTTCTCCTAAGGTACTCCTGCTTAATGAACTCTCTGCGTGCTTTCTCATCCTCCTTCTTCTGACGTTCTTCTTCTGCTTTAATCCTGAAGGGGACAGCAAGGGACACCTTATGAGGGATGAAAATCTTCTGCCTTAACATATGCAGCAATACTTTCAATTTACAGGCCAGTTTTTCTACTGTGAAAATTTATTTTATTTATGAGTTTATGTTTTTCTTAAGTGATCCAATAGACTGTAGAAAGACCTGATCTGAACTCTTTGAAGGCAATCCTATCTGGATCCTATGATGAACGCTGGAAATCGGTTGAACAATGGCCTGAAATCTGAAAATACCTGGAGCAGATGTTCCAAAGAACAGTGGGTTCTTTGGCGATTTTTTCCCCAGAAGAAATTAATAAAAGAACGTCTGCACTTTACAGGACTGCTGCAGTTTAGTTCAAGATAGAAATGTGTCTTTTGTTCCAAAACTGGAAACTATTGAGAGTCTGTGCTTTAAAAGATCTGCACAACACAATTACCAGTTAACCTTGAAAGGAAATGGGGGAATAGGATATGACAAGTATGTTTTGACAACACATCCTGTATTTGACCAGTGATAGTTCTAGTTTCCTTATGCCTTCACTGTGTATCTTACTATCTACGTACACTTCATGGGTCATGGGTCTTCTTATGGGGTTGTTACGTCCCAGTGTGATGTCCATGTGTGTTTTGTGTCTGTTCCACACTTCCTGACCTTGATTGTTCTCCCTCCCCCATTGGCCCATCATGACATCATTGTTTCTGCGTGACATCATCATCAATCAGCTTCTCGGCCAATCAGAGTGCAGCTTATTTAGGTGTTCTGAATGTAGGGGCCTTTCATTTGACTTCGGTCCTGCTCGGCTTTGGTTTCGTTTAACTTTTGGTTTTTGCTTTGGCTTCGCTTCGTTTGTGTGTGTTTTTGAATAGCTTTGGGTTTTGATGGTTTGTGTTCGTCTCTTTGTACTTTTGTTTGTTTGCGTTTATCCTTGTTTAGCCATTACTTTGCCCAGGTGTATTGTATCAACCTCTGTGTTCTTTTGTACCCTGTTACATGTGTCCACTCTCATTTTCCCTTTGGTATTCGTAGTTCACTTGTGTATTTGTGTGAACTTTTGTGTATAGGGTTAGTTTAGGTTGTTGGGTACATTCTACACACGTAGTTCATTTTTGTATTAGTCACACTAGTTTAGTATGGGTGAGTGCCGTTTGTCTTATTATCCTAAATGTTTCACCCCTTTACCCCTAGACACTTGGGGTTGGAACAGTAAGAGTAAGAGTTATGGTGCATTTAAAAAAAGTTCATCCTAGTATTGCCTTCAGATGCCAACATCTTGATGTTTCTCTGCACTGCACGAACGTGGACTGCTTGTGGTCCAGGCGTACGGAAACCCTGGCAGCTTACCGGGCCTCTTCTTTCTTCTGTTCCATCTCGGCCTCCAGCTGCTGCTTCCGCTGCTGGGTCTCCCTCTCTCTCCTCAGCCTCTTCTCCAGCAGTGCCGCCCGCTTCACTGCCATATCGTCTTCGCCCTTCTGGTCGTCCTGTTGACGAGAAAGCGAGTCAGTTGGGCATCGTGACCGCGAGCAGCACACAGTCTCAAAACCTGTTTCGGTAAATGTATTATCATCATTTTAAAGTTACTTACTGAGGCTTTTGAGCTCTCTGAAGGACCGTATAAACTGTGGGTCATACTACAGTCATGTTGCGTTAAGTATTTTATTGCCCTTTCAAAATTTAACAAGGCTCGTCATTTTCAGAAAATGTCTATTAAAATAGCCAGCACTGAGTGAAATGTGAATTCTTATTTACATTTGATATCCTGAAAAACAGAATTTCATAACCAATCAAATTAGGGTCACCAATCCTTTATCTGTTTGGCTATATGGCTCTAAAGACCTGTACCATGTACTTCATTGATCAGAGGAGATCGTTGATCATACTTTCACTGATGTCATTCAAAGTTTTCAGGTGATCAGCTGTTCTCTGCAGTTGCTTCTGCAGTTAAAGCCAAGTGGGCCTTGTCCCACCCTGGCAGTGCTCAGTCAGTTCTGTGCTGCAACTTGGCTGATTACCGTCACAGTCTTCTAATGTCTTGGTCCTGACTCAAACCAGCAATCCTTGACTACAGAATTCAACCAGTACACAGAGCAAGTGCTTTTATTGATTAAGCCACTCAGGAGCCCTGAAATAAAAACCTTATGCAAAATATCTAAAGCTATGCTGCACACACAACAGCTTTTTAAATTAAATTCTACTGTACTATGTAAAGCATGAAATATTTTTTAAGACACATTTACATGTTTCTTATTAAATTATTTATCACCCACAGACCTCTGACCTAAATTTTAGTGATGCACAACTGATCCTGTACTATACAGATTGTCTCTTTTGCCTTGGCCTGTATACGTTGCTCTTCATCATTTTTATAATTAACGGATACCCTACATTCCTAAAAAAAGTTAGGAGTGTAAAAGCTCTAGGGAATTTAGGAAAAATGCACTGTCATAAAATTAGGGCAGGTTGGTCATGGAAAAAAAGTGTGTGCTACTGCATGCAGTACCAAAAAAATAAAAGGCAAAAAACAATTTTCTACAGTGTAGTTTTAAGTTACACAGTAAAATTAGTGCATATTTTTGAAAATAACGCTTAAACCAACAAAAAGTTTGCACATATTTGCTCTGTTAAGTAAATCTAGGTTTAGGTTTTACAGTACAATATTTTATACATCCAGCAAAGGCACTTTAGAAAGGCACTTTGGGGGGGGTGCTTTAATTTGTACCTTAAAAAAGAAACCACAGCACATCTTCTGATCTTCATCATAGACTTCTCCACTGACTTCCCCCTCTCCATGATCTTCTAATTCTTGTCCCTCCAGAGGCTTAAGTATTGATAATGGAACTTCAATCAAGCTCTTGGTGCTCTGCCCAAGAACATCACCCGGGTTTTCAGTGGGGGTAACTATAAATGTCTCTGTTATTGGCTGGGATAGCACTTCTGAAACAGTGGATTCTAAAGGCTTTATCTCTCTTTCCTCTTCTTCCCTCTCTTTTGTTGGTTTTTCCTTGGGTTCCTCGGCTGTAGAGGGTGGCTCGGCTTCCACCCCTTTCTCTGACCCTTCTTTTGGAAAAGAATGGTCTGGTTTCAGTCTTTCAGCAGCATCCTTCTCCCTGGCCTCAGTCTCAGAGGATGGTCTGGAATCATGTCCGAGACACACAAAAGAGCTGGTTTGGGTCTGGCTGGGAGAAAACCTCCGAAGGCGAGGGAGGCTATCCACCGACTGGGGGGGGGTTAAAATGCGGTTGAAAGGTGTGATTTTTAGTTCATTTGGCCGCGGAGTCCTGGGGGTCTTTGAGTGGAAAGAGGCCGACTTTCTCTTTATGCTTGTCGGGGACCGATGGGAGGTACGAGGCGAGTCTCCCGAGGACAAGACGGGTGACAAGGAGCCAGTGGAACGGGTGGCAGTGCGGAGATCCCGGATTTGTTTCTGTGGCGAGGGCTGGGGAGGCGAAATTACCCATGCCTGCTGCTCTCGCATCTGCATGATGACCTCCTGCTGCTGGGCCAAGCGCTGCATCTCCTGCTGCAGGAAGTTCAGAGAGGCATTTAGCTTTTCAATGGATTTGGTGTACTCCACCAGGTCTACTTCCCCTAAGTTCTCATCATTGGGTGACTTCAGCCATCGGTTCTGAGCTTGGTCCATGCTATCCGTGATGTCTGTTTTACACTTCTCAGGCCTTAGGTTGTTATCGTCAGCCGTTTTGAAAGGCTGGCTGTCGGTGGACAGCTTTTCGTCTTCTGAACCGGCAGCCTCTTCCCTCAGGGGTGAGGTACCGTCTCCTTTTCTCTTCACCACCGTCAGGAATGCTGTTCTCCCCATCCTCTGCCTGTGCCTTGTAAAGGCTGCCTCCACCTTTTTCTTTTGGGCTTCGATCGCCCTGCGTTTCTCCTCCAGCTTCATCCTCAGCTGAACCATCTCGGACGCCAACAGCTGCGTGGGATCCCTCCCTGTTTGTCTGACCGGGCTCTCCTCCGGAGTTTGAGCCCAGGCCACCATGTGCGGGATGTTGAGTTCTGAACTCTCAGGAGTGGTCTTCTGAGAGCTGCTTCCACTGCTCCTGCCGTCGACGTTATTCAGTTTTTTGAACTTCTGTTCTGCGAAGCTGGTCATCTTGATCCCTGAACTTGAGGATGCAGTACTACCGGCCTGAGACTTCGCACTTAATGAGCTAGGACAGGGGCTTATCATTTCCCTCGGGTTGCCGGCTTTTAATTCATAGTCATGGTCCATATCTGAATCCATGCTCACAGTGTAGTCTCTTAGAGATGAGTCCTCGTCCATGGTTTCCTGAATATCCTCCGTCTGCACATGAATCCCAGTGTCCACCTCGGTCGTGTCGGGGCTCATGGCTCCTTTTATCTCTGTAACAGAATCTATACCTGCTTCCTCTAGCTTGGGCTGTGAACTTGAATCCTCTAAATCCTGACAATGGAGGAAAAATCCATTGTTCACTTTATCCGACTGGAGGAGTGTATGTGTTTTTTCTGTGTTGTGAATGATTTTCAAAGCTTCCTCAATGCTTGGAGTCCCTGTGAGATTACCATGTCCATCCATGACTGGCCCATTTGAAAGTCCATGCTGATTCCTGATGTTATTACCTCTCCCTGAATGCTTGCTGGATAGTTCTGTGCCTGTGAGGCTCTCTGGGCACTCCTCCTCCTCAATGCCCTCTTTTTCCTTCTGTCCATTCACAGGCTGGAAGGAGAGGTTTCTTTTAATCAGATTCTTGGGCATCTGATGGACTTTGAAACCCAGACCTTCAGTGCTGATAGACCTGGTCATCCCTCTGCTGGGGGCAGTGGGAGTCTGCATAGTGTTTTCGTTATCAAAAGGAATATCAAAGGATACTCCATGAGCTGAGGACCTACATTGGAAGACAGAGAAATCATCATATTTTACATGAGAAAAAAAGATTAATTAAATAATGAAACCATGTTTTTACTTTGCTGATTATTTGTCAAAACATTACTGTTTTGTGAGGGCCTAACCCTGCTTGAATCCTGAAATAAAGTCAGGTTCCACTCACTCCTATACTTATAGACAGGAACTGATGTACATATAGAACATCTCTTCCTATAGAACGAAGGTTTTACAAACCGTTTTTCCTTTGGCCACGTTCCAACGTAACCATCCACGTAAGACATTGAAGTTGATCTTTTCATCACACCTGAAAAAAAAGAACAGCTCTTGAAGGTATGTAAAATTATAGTAAAAACAAGAAGAAAAACAAACTCCAAAGCGATGAAGTAAAGCTTGTCTTGAGGGCAGCAGAGCAGGTAGACTGTAGCAGCTGGGAAAACAAGAGGCTGTGTTACCTGAAACAGGAGGCTGAGACTGTGGTTGTGTGTGTCTGACAGACATGAGAGACTCTGATGGTGACAAGGGCAGACTGGAGAAAAAAAAACATATTGGTCAAGCTTAGTATATATCTTACTTTAGCCTGTACTGTGATTCATAATTTAAGAAACTCTGTCACAATAATAAATGTATTGAACCTATCATAATCTGAATTGATAAAAAACAGTGCTTTGCAGGAGAAATAAAAAAAAATACCTGGGCTGGTCAGAGCTGGAAGGGCTCTCAATAAAGCTTCTCTTTGTGGCATTTGAAATGGGAACCGAAGGCATGTTTCGCAAGGAATGGACTGGCTGTGATGCTGGTAGCAAATGAAACAATCAATCGTCATCTCAGAAATTTAAAACGGACAAGCCACTAATGACTGAAGTTTTTCTTTTTTACTGATTACAATCATACTGACAAAATTTACCAGCAAATACGGACATCATGCACAGAACAATAACTCTCTTTTTAAATTTATTTTAAATAATAGCACAGAAGCTCAAATTCCTCAATTCAGTTGCAAAAGTATCAGTGTTTCAAAATAAACGATTGATTTTCAATTCAGTGAGCGCAAGGAATCATTTTTAAACATTACCTTCAGTATCTACAACACGAGGCTGCACAAAAGATGGCTTCACCACTTCGAACCACCAAAACAACTCTGCCATAAAGACAAGGTAGTTATTCTGTAAAAGATCACAAAAAATACATAATATTACAACTGCAAGCAAGAATTATTTTCTACCACACACATCGCAATTTAGTGCACAATGATGCACCACAATCTACCCACCTCTCCACAAGGTGTCTCTGCTCTACACTTGATAAAGTTAATAATAATATTTTATTTAAGAGCATGGTTCAAGAAACACAAAGTGCACATCACACACAAAAGTAAAAAGAGTAAATAAAGCACAGAAAAAATAATTCAGTAAAATATATACATTAAAAATCCTATTGAAGAGAGAATATTTTCAAACATGTTTAAAGTTTTAAAAAACTGTAGGCATCCAGTGTCTAATGACCTGGGCACTATGTTCCAAACATGTACTGCATGAGTAAAGGCTCTTATCACCCATACATTTAGGTTTTCCACCGAAAATGTAGGCTTGAATGAGGAGATCTCAGATTAAGAGCTGGACTACACTCACAGACCTTACAATAACCTGAAACTAGACTATTCTGTCTTATTCACAAGTTGGAAAACCTTAGAAGTCCACTCTGCATTTCACAAGGAGCCTAATTTACAGAAGATGGGAGTTATATGCTGATGCAGAGTCCTTTCAGATAGCACCTAAGTCTGCACCCTAGTAAGCAAGGTGTTACTGTAGTAAGTAAAAATGAAGGTACAATACATATACAAAACCTTTTTATCCTTCCACACTCACACTCAAGGGTTTTGCACACTGTTTGGTAATAAAAACATAAATGTTTTTCTCTAAATATTTCTTGAAATGTCTACTGTTTTACAATAAGCCCCAGTTGAAACAGAATCTCTTATCTATTTAATGTAACCTCAACTACTAATTTCTTGTCTGTGATGCAACAATTCACAATAATTTAAACATGTCCTTCCTAGATAACCACAGCAAAATTGTAATTGCAAGCAACAGATTTATATTATGTAACCTAAAACCTATTTTATCATATCAAATTTAAAATACCTAAATTGCTTTTCCCATTTGCCCCTGATATTTTCCAGCTTTCTTTAAAAATAAAATCCATTTGTTTGCCTTATTCATAGTGAAATTACATACTTGAAAAATATTGTGTTTTTTTATTAAACTAATGTTTCAGGATGCCATAACATCATCTAACAAATTACTCATTTTTCAACAAGCACAAAGAAGTTACCTCTTGCTTTCGGTGTCTGTCGCTTTGTAAAGCATAGGAAAAAAACAGACAACTCCCAGATGGCTTAGTATAAATCTATCTTCCCATCTGCCCTCCTGTGTGCTTAGTCATACTACAAACTCATGCATACTTCAAATATAAACCTTTTTTCATCAGATATTCAATAACTTACAGCCTTCTGACAAGTCATACTTGCTGACACACTTTTATATGAAAAAAAAAACAAAAAACAAATTGAAAGATGGGGGATTTCATTGTAATGTTTGTAAAAAAATAAATAAAGGCAATTTATACAAAGCTGGCATTAAGCAGTTAATCCCCTCAGTCCTTCTTTTGGGGACAAAGGCAGCAAGAATTGAAATGCATAGTCTCCATTTTAGGATACCAGACACTGCTGCACATGCAGCTCCAGCCAAATGACATACAGTACAGTATAAATCTCTTGGCACAGTGCATGGTTGTGAATAAGAGATTTCTTCTAATTAAGAGGACAATGTACAAAATTAGCACTTTTTGTGGTGTGAAGCCTTTCCCAAGATAAAAGAATAGTCTTAAACTGTGCTGAAGCATTTTTTCTCTATACTTCTATTACCTTATATAAGATAAAAATAAACCCACATGCTTAGTTTGTAACACCAAGGGGCAGGCCACAGATTTGTAGATCTGACACCCATTTCTGCCATCATCAAAGATGTCCATAACAGCATCACCTTGGATTACTTTTGGAGAATATCTGCGTCCACTGACATGGTCTTTTTCATGACTGAACCTTTATATACTGTACTTGTTTTTAATTTAACCAAATCAATATCGCAGGGCTAGGTTCAAACTGAGTCGAGGTTGTTGTCAAAAGACAGGATTTAACATTAACTACATCCTATAAATATACAAAAGATTTTCAGTCACAGATGTGTATGGTTCTTCCCTGCCTTGATAGCAGGTTTGCTCCTGACATCAAGGACTGCTGTAGAAAGTGCTACATATTAACCAGGTTACACTTACAGTAATAGACACAGCATTGTATTCTAAAAGAGCACAGGAGTGACTTACAACACTACTTAACAACACGTCTAAAAAAAAGTAACACATTGTAACATTCAGCCTACAGATTAGACATTCAAAAGATAAAGAGATGATTATAACATTGAGCCCGAACTTGGAATTTGATGATGAAATAACCCACAATTGTCAATACATTTTCTATTGCACTTTACAAATACAGATATAATGTTGTGTACTTAACCTAAATACAGCATAATTTTAATTGCTCCTGGATTGGATCTATCACTACTATAAACACGAGCTCAGTCACTCACAAAATTTCACAAATAAAGCTTATTGCTCCATAATCACATTTTGCACTGCTCCTTCTTCATTGTCATATTCAAAGGATACCATAGTGAATTTCTTTTATTGCAAGTGCTGTTCAGTTGTTCATACAGTATATAATTCCTAGATACTATAGATCTCATCTTTACACATACTAACATACCCATCATTTTCTATAGAAATAATTAAAAAACAGAATTAAGAACGTTGGGTGTTCAACTTTTAAACATTGGGTGTTTACAAGGGTCTTATTGAGTGTTCTAAAAAGAGCACAGTATTGTCAGCTTATACACAAAGCCTTTCTCCAATACTCTGCTGGACCTCTGCAATGGCCAGTGTTCCAGTTCCAAGAAAAGTCAAATAAAGTGACAGCTAAGCCAACTCTTATTTCCATCTCAAAAGACAGAAAGTACCAGGATTTAAGCGGCTAAAAACATTAAAAGTCACGTCTTATTCATATTCATATTTTTTATTTACAGTAAAGTGATTGAATCAGGGAATATGTACATCATAAAACTCAAATGTATACCTAATGTAATAAACAACCTCCAAATACTCATAAAACAAGACAATATTTCGAAATAGTTCAGGTGGGTAGCTGTGTCAGCATGCGTACGCTGCAGAGGAACAAGTAATAGGTTTTTTCCATGCTGTAAAAAAAGAAGAAAGAGAACACAACATTTTGGCCGTGGAGCCTTCTTCAGGTGTCAACATTTTGGAAATGTTGCCTTCCATTTATAACGATCAACCTGCACATGAACTGAATGTAGAAAAAGAAAAATGAAGGCCTAATTTAACACAATATAACAAGAAAGGAGGGCAAGTCTTTATCTCGCAGTAAAATAATAAATGTAATAACATCCACAGCCAATGTAGTTTGGGTACCAATAGTACCAATGAGCATATAAATAAAACATATCAAAATTCTGCATTCCTGTCAAAACATTTACATCATCACTTTTTGAAGTAAGTAAAAATGTCTCCACAGTCTGTTTTCACAAGGTGTCTTTTACAGAACAAGAAAAGTAATACAAATTCCTATTCCTAAAAGCCCATCCACCCTCCAAATTTAGATGTCAACAGTAATAGACAATGTATATGCCATACATGACTTCTATTCCTGTCTCTTGTGACATGCATACAGATGGAAAGAGATTCTGGAAAAAAAAACTTTAGCTGCTACTTGCTGCCAGTCCCCTGGGTTATTTGTTAAAGAACTTTCTGCTGAATAGCTGTTTGAAAGCCATCTTGTAGGCAGAACTAAATACAGTGATGACTAACTGATTCAACAACTAAGAAACACTGTGGTTTATTTTCCTTCCAACAGAGTATGATATCCCACCCATCCCTACCACCTCCTTTAAAACTTTATGACTCATATCTACTAAGAGAATAACCCTATTAGAAGATGTTTATTAACCTCAGGAGGGAAGGGAAGAAAAACAGCCAAATGCAAACCACAGGAAATTTTACGTTGGTCATAACGTAGCCTACCTTTATCGAGGAGGAGGCATAGAGCATATCTTCCAGTGTGAAGTGGCAACAACGGTTCAGATTCTCCTGACAGAACTCCTGAATCAGCTGTAGATTGTAAAGGCTGTCTGCCAATGACATGGTCTCCTTCAGGCATATATCTGAGGAGAAGGCAGAAAAGGAATGTTATCTAAGAGGCTGCAGGAAAAAACAGCTCCCCTTGCAAAATAATAACCAATGATTAGTGGAGAGTGGAGTGATCGTTTTCATTTAAAAGGCAGTGTGTATTGTACTGAAGCAGCCGAGAGTCCTCCCATCAAATAAAATGGGGATATTTTTAATATCCACTTCCAGTTTCAGAGAATGCAGAAAATGGGCAGCATGCACCACTTCTGACAAGAACAACAATAAGTACATTCAACATATTTGCTAAAAATGTGTTTCCTGAAAACCTTTTTCCAAATGTACACTAAAAGAAGGAGTTTGTTTGCCAAATTAAGAACTCTGATCTAGGTGTAAGAGCTCTTCTATGTTCTGCTACATCTGAGAACGTTGTCTGGCGAGAATTTCCACCTTATTCATCTGGGAAACTTGGAAGCTGTCTTACGTCACGCAAGCTCTGCAGAATGCTTGTAAATAAAATGGAAGATGTCCCAACAAAATGAAAGGCGTCCCATCCGTTGAGAAACAATATGAGTGACCTACCTTCCAGCTTCACAATCTCTGGGCAGTAGAAATGGATCAAAGCAGCCAGAGCACTGCCATCAGTGCTGTCTTTCAGTAAGTTGTCCACAGGGGGAATGCATGGCATCTGTTTTGGCAGTGCCTGCTCCTTCCTGTAGCGGGCCTGGAGCAGAACAGAACACCGATAAAAAAATAAATAAAGATGTAACACTTTTTCCCCAAACTGTTTGAACAGAGTCTTTCAACTTCAAGGTTTCAGAATTTATAACGGAGCAGCAAAGTGGGATTTGTTACATGCAGAGTAGCGACTCTCAAGGCACAAGCAAACACTTAAATAATTAAAAGCGCTGTCTTGTCAACAGCTCTTTATTTTGCTTTATTAAATTGGAGCTATCACAGTTCCAGCACTGGAATCTGTCCGCATCAGATTATTAGCTCAGTCCCTGTAAATACTAATAAAACATAAAAACAGCTCATAAAAATGACTACGATGCCACGATTTCTTTACAAGTGTGCTTTATTCTAACCAATTTGTACAGGTAAATTAAGATTCCCATCATAACATATACACTTGGTTTCTGATGTGTCTTATATATTTTAGCAACAGAAATGAATTATACTATTTCCAAATGAAACTGCTGACAGTTTAAAGGGTTAGCACATCACACTCCATTATAAGCATGTTACATTAAGTGCATTTTCACAAAGCATACCTGCTTGCTAAAACTTCTATAACTTGTTGGTATAACTATACAGTATGCAGTATACTGTACAGCAGTACATTCAGATGTACCCAATAATAAAGTATTCATACTGCCTAATTTCTGCTATTAAAACCTGCAATAACATTCACTTTTTGTTTTCAGGTTTATTCACTAAAGAAAGGGACATATTCCACATATAGTATGTCCCATAAAGATAAAGCCAACCCTTTAATCATACTTCTTCTTTTACAAATTTAAAAGTCACAAACTCTTTCAAAAGAATATAAATTCAAACACCAGCTCAAGTTTCTTGTATACTGTAGTTAAGCTTAAATAAAACTAAACTGATATGTAAATAATGCTTTTCTTCTTTGTTCCTTATTTTTTAGTTTAACAGTAAAGTATGTTGAATTCTCACTGATTTTTTTCCTCTTGGATACTTGTTTTTTTACACATTATGGTAGACCTGAACTGAGCCAATCTTGTTTAGCTGAAAAAAAACGGTGATAAATGTTACATTAGTAAATCTTTATCACTCTAAAAATGGGAGGCCATAATGCAACAAGGGATTTACCCAATAGTGCCCAGAGTCTGAGATGTTAAACATTACCACCCAATATCAATGTGAATTTGTGTTGCCGCTCTTTAATGTAATTCAAGCTAGCAGAAGGCTGAAGTGAGATACTGAGATGTTAAGGTTGTGAAATAAGGTTGAGAACCCTGCAATGAAACTGAATAAGGCTCCAGTCATGATGTGAATGCAGGACATCCCCTTCTGTTTTCCAAGAAGGCCCTGGATCCACACATCCATGATGTAGGCAAACATGCATGCAGAACTACACACAGATGAAGACATGGGGGAAAGAATCAAAGCAGACAGGCAGACTTACAGGAACCAGTTTCCAATACCATTTGGTTGGAGACTTCGGCAGCAAAAAAAGTGGCAGAAAAAGAAAAGGGTGACAGGAAACGTAAAAAAAGGAAAAACTGTCAGCAAAGTCTGCAGGCATGATAATATCACCTTGCAAAGCTCTCACCACAGCAAAGGGCCTCATTAAATAATAACTACCTCTCCAGACATATTTCTCAGCTTGTACTTGTAATCAAGTGTATTCATTGCAGCAACAAATACCACTCTCATGCAGTGACAAGTTAAACTTTTTTTTTCTCTTTAAGTAATGATAGGCACAGGCGAAATGAGGCAACCATCC